GCAATCCATTACATTTCCACTGGCCCATGAACAGCTTTAACCCAATCATACACTTTTTAAAGTGGAAGGAAATGCTTATTATTCTAAATAGAGTTTCTAATAGCGGGGCAAAACTAGACTTGTCTCATCTAACAATCTGTTTTTTTCTTCTCATAATGGAAGTTTGGGAGGGTGTGTATCTCTCTAGTTCTTCCTGTTGTTTGTGAAATGCCATTTTTTTAAATATTTTAAAAAGCCCCAAAGCTGACATTTACAGGGATTTAAATTGTATGTGATACAAAATGTCATGTACAAGATGGTAAAAAACCTGGCTTATCCCACGTCAAATTATTCATCTATCTAGGCCAAGTCTAACCACTGCACCACTGGTGCAGTGGTTAGACTGCAGTACTGCAGTCAAGCCTCTGCTCACAACCTGAGTTCAATCCCAATGGATTCAGGCTCAAGGTTGACTCAGCCTTCCATCCTTCCAAAGTTGTACCCAGTTTGATGGGGGGGAATGTGTTGTCTGCATAATTAAATTGTAAACTGCCCAGAAAGTGCTTTAATTGTTATGGGCCAATATATAAGCAACGCTTTGTCTTGCTTTTTATTTGACTAGCAATCCAGGGTCTCTAAGAATTTTTTCCTCTCACTGGCTATTTCTTTTAATTCAAATTGAACCTGGGGCTATGGGTGACATATGCTATTTTTGAAAAACTTTTATATCAGAGGTGCAAACAGTGAGCTCTGATATTGTATGGTCAAAACAGCATTCCATAAGACATTTCTGATAGGAGGGGGCAGTTTAAACAAAAAGTTGTATCTTTTGAATGGGACCTTACATCAGGGTCATATTTGCAGAGTTACTGTTGGAGAAGACTGAACAAGTATTTTTAAAGTTCTACTTTCTGTTTTAAAAAAACTTTCCTATCCGCTTGATTTTGTTTTGCTAGCATTTTTGTGGCTTATAGCAAATTCAGTAATTATTTTTTAAGTGCCTGTCATTGCTTCCTGAAAAAGAAATGATTACCACTAAATGTTTTTTAAAATTTAAAGTTGGTCAACCTTGTCAGTTAGAAGATATAGGACCTTAAAGTATGCTTGTTTTAAAGTCTGACTGTGCATGCTTATTCTCACTGCATAAGAATGCACTGATATACTACTGTACACTGCAGTGACAAGAAATCAAGTGGGAGTATAACTTACTTGGCTTTTTTTTAGTATAGTACAACTGATTATTTTTATGTATATATGTTTTAATTCATGTTGCAAGTTGCCTTGGTCCCACACAAGGAGAAAGCTGATAAATGAATGTTAGCAATATAGGTTATATTAAAAATGAGTGCTGGATTAAACCAGGGGATGTATCCAAGGAAGAAAAATATCAAGTGCAGGAGGCAAGCACTTGGAAAAATGTGACACAAAGAAGCAAAACTATCAGAGAACATGCTCTGTTATTGGGAGATGTAAAATCAACAGGGATCCCTCCCCATGAACAGCGATTCTGAGCTGCTGAAACAAACAGGAAACAGAGAACAAGGAAGTGGAGATCAACAGAAGCAGTGGATATTATGCTTGCTTCTCCCTCACCACTCCCCTACAGAAATTTAATCTAGTATGCAGTTTAGTAGCATTTACAAATGAACAATCAACCATTTATAGAATTTTCCAAGCTTTACACCTGTATTAGGTTTGCACCATATTTATTTGTAAAACAGGAGCCCAGATTTACCTGGGCATCCCAGTTGCTGCCAAGAAGGGCTCACCTAGGCCAAGGCACCAGAATAGGCATGGCGCCGGTCATACGGTCTAGTGGATGGGGGAGGGGTAGCTACTAGAGGCTGCCCTAGCAGCCCTGATTGGCTAGTGGGGAGTGGGGTTTTTCTGCTGGCCTGATATTGGCTGGCAGGGAGAAATCCAAACAGTGCAAGGAGACCGGAAAAGGAGAATTTTCTCCCTAGTCTGCCTGCCCAGCCTAAAAGTGGTGGGCACAGCCACCCACCATCTAGTCTGCTGTCACCAGCACCCACCTCCTTGGGCAGAGTCAGGGTCTGGTCCAGCCTGGGGGCCTGCAAGACCAACCCCTTCCCCAGGTGTGTGAGAATCACAGTGGCATACGCCCGCGTGGTTTCCAGAAGATGACTACTGAAGTGACCAGTGGTGGGCATCGGGTGGCAATTGGGCCTCTCAATGCACTGGATTCAATCACCCAATGCTGACCAAGGACTGCTGCTGTATCTAATAAAGTTGTGGCCTTTCCTCCAAAGAATTGGGTGTATTGTATTCCTTTGTAATTTACAGAGCCCTGGAGAGAGCCCGCTCAGTGATAGGCTAGCAACACTTTGATAGACGACAACAGCTGACAGATGGCATTTCAATTCAGGGTACAATGTATATAAATAAACAAAAGCAAGATGGCAGAACTAAAGAACAAGAGAGGCCCATGCTTATGAATTACCTTCTGCTCCAAGATCAAGGGTGGAACTCATACATTTCATCCATAATCAAATGTTGGACATTATGGCAGATGATACCAAATGGGGACGGGTTACTATTTTCCCAGAGGACAGGATTAAAATTCAAAATGACCTTGACAGTTTAGAGTCCCGGACCAAAACTAACAAAATAAATTTGAACAGGGAGAAATGTAAGGTCCTACACCTAGGCAGAAAAAATGAACTGCATAGATATAGGATGGAAGACACCTGGCTAGACAACAGTACCTGTGAAAGGGATCTAGGAGTCTTGGTAGACCACAAACTGAACATGAGTCAGCAGTGTGATGCGGCTGCCAAGAAAGCCAATGCAATTCTTGGTTGCATCAATAGGAGTACAGTGGTGCCTTGCTTAACGGGCGCTCCGTTTAGTGACGAAACCGCATAGCGATTAACTTTTTGCGATTGCATTACGATGTTTCCTATGGGGTTTTATTGCTTTGCGATGATTGGTTCCCTGTTTTGCTTACCAATCATCGCAAAGCGATGATTTTTAAATAGCTGATCGGCGGTTCCAAAATGGCCACCGGGTAAAAAAATGGCCACCCGCTGTGTTTTCGCGCCGATTCCTCACTTAAGAGGCAGCGAAAATGGCCGCCGTATGGAGGATCTTCGCTTTAAGGTCAGTTTTTTGCCCATAGGAATGCATTAAGCGGGTTTTAATGCATTTCTATGGGCTTTTTAAAATCACATAGCAGCGATTTTCGCTGCACGGATTAACGTCACTATGCGAGGCACCACTGTATGTCTAGATTGAGGGAAGTGATAGTACCTCAATAGGAGTATTGTGTCCAGTTCCGGGCAGCTCAATTCAAGAAGGATGTTGACAACTTGGAATGTGTCCAGAGGAGGGTGACCAAAATGGTCAAAGGTTTGGAAGCCATGTTCTATGAGGAGCGGCTTAGGGAATGTTTAGCCTTACAAAAAGAAAGTTAAGCGGGGACGTGGTATTTAAATATTTGAAGCCGTATTTAAATATTAGGAGGGATGTCATGTCAAGGAAGGGACAGTTTTGTTTTCCATGGTTCCAGACACTAGGACAAGGAGCAATGGTTTCAAACTACAGGAAAAGAGATTCCATTTGAACATTAGGAAGAACTTCCTGACGGTCAAGCTGGTCGGCAGTAGAATAGGCTGCCTTGGAGTCTGGTGGAGTTTCATTCTTTGGAGGTTTTTAAGCAGGCCATCTGTCGGGAGTGCTTTGATGGAGTTCCTGCATGGCAGAGGGTTGGACTTGATGGCCCATGTGGTCTCTTCCAACTCTGTGATTCTATGATTCTATGGCAAAAATGGCAAACAACTGTTTTTTCTGTAATCCTGTCCTGGCTTTCACCTATATGTAAGGCTGCTTTAAAGGAAAAGTCTGTAGTGGATTCATAATATTTTAAGGTATTATAAATACTGACAAGAGTATAATTTCATTTAGCAAGTTGGTTAAAAAACTGAAACACATAATAAAATATTTGAAATATTTATTAGCAAAGCATACATTTTATACTTACCAATCACAAAATGATTTATGATCCCAAGAATAATTTATATTAAAATATCCATATGTACATAGTATAAAACTATGTTACTATTCCTACCACCATAAAATACAGTTTGCGTATTCATCAACCTGGACATTAATGCTATAATCTGATGTCACTTATTAAGAGGATACTTTAATTATGTAATGAGGTTACCAGAGAAATCTGTCTTAATATTATATTGATGAAATAACACATATTTTACACAAATAAGCCAGTAGGACAATCTGTCATCACAACATACTTGTAAAATAGCTTGGATAAATGATTTTAGCAACAAATATTAAATATGTTTAGGAAATCCAATGGTTACTTAAAACTAAACAGCATAAAATAGATTTTCAGATTATGTGTCCAATTCAGAGAGAAGTAGGTTTAACAAAGTCAATATCTCTGCTGTATTACATAGGTTCCTCTATGTCAACAGATGTTACTACAATCGAGAATTATTCATTACCTCACTGTGGTAATAAAACAGCGTGGTGATAAAACAGCGCGGTGGCGCTGCGGGCTAAGCCGCAGAAGCCTGTGCTGCAGGGTCAAAAGACCAAACAGTCGTAAGATCGAATCCACGTGACGGAGTGAGCTCCCGTCGCTTGTCCAAGCTCCCGCCAACCTAGCGGTTCGAAAGCATGCAAATGCAAGTAGATAAATAGGGACCACCTCGGTGGGAAGGTAACAGCGTTCCGTGTCTAAGTTGCACTGGCCATGTGACCACGGAAGATTGCCTTCGGACAAACGCTGGCTCTATGGCTTGGAAACGGGGATGAGCACCACCCCCTAGAGTCAGACACGACTGGACAAAAATTGTCAAGGGGAACCTTTACCTTTACCTTTTTTACTACCTATTTTGTATGTGAGCTAGATTAAAAATGATTGTGCCATGAGAACTGAGAAATTGTAAAGCTTCATTGTATTTTTCTGTGTATGTGTTACAATTAGCAATATGATTGGAAAACAGATTTCAAATTAAACACAAAATTCTACTGAATTCCTTAAGAATATATTTTTATTAATCAACTTCTATATTGCAGTCTGTACACATGGTATAACATTCCCTCAGTTACGAAACTGTATTGACATTTCAGACATATATAATTCTATACAGAAAAAGCTTCTTTATATTAGGCACAAAGGTTTTAAGGTATCAAGCAATCTGGGCTTTTAGAGAAACTGCATACTTATTTTTTGGTAATCTGATAAGCTGACCATTTATTTATGTGATAGAATCTATGTGCCTCAACTGTGCTACCCAAAAGATAACCTTCCCTTGAGAAACAGATCTTAGTAATATCTGCTTCAAAGAAAGCAGAGAACTTCAGATTTCTTATATGAGCACTATAACCAGAACAGTTTTGTAGTTCATAACAGGTTTACACACATATACATTCATTTCCATCAACAATAAATAAGCACTACACATGGGTTGAGACTGAAGAGTCAGACATTACTGTCCACCCACAATAAACAGACTCGCATACCAAGGCTTACCAGTCTGCTGAAGTAGCAAAGAGTGATAAAACAACTACTTAATATGATCAGCATGGCCCTTAGCGCTGTATGGTTAGACTTGCTCTGACTGCTGGAGCAGCTGCCGCTCGTTCTCTCTCTTTCGCAATTTCCAGTTCTATTTTCGTTTTGATTTTATCCCAGTTAACTTCAAGCTACAGAACCAGGGGATGGCAGGGCGAGGGGAGAGAAAAGAAATATCCATTAATCATAATTAGAGTAGATGCTTATAAATTAACCTGGCAAGCCTTTACTTTATATGTTACATCTGCTATAGATTTCTTCGCAACACTGCTTTTTAGCCTTTTGTGGCTGAGAAGCTTTCTGCAATCTGTTAGTGAGGTTAAAAAAAAACTATGGCAGGGATCCAGTCAAGCCCACATGGGTGCACAAAATGCTTCTGCATGCATATGGGGTCTTGCCAATTTTCCTTTCTAAAGGAAGGCTCTTACACCTCACAAGGTACCATACTGAAGCTGTAGGGGGGAAAGGGAGCTGCTGCAGGAAAAGGGGGGGGGTTGCTGAAAAGATCCATTAATGTGTAGAACACTGCAAGCGGTAGTAGTTTGGATTCCAGCACAAACAATTAAGATTCTGAAATTAATGCTATTGAAAGATTTGCCAAACAGACACAATCATCTTCAATTACATGATTCATTGCAGTTATGACTTTAACCTTTTTATTGTTTTGCAATCTCTTTCAATGCAAGTAGGATTTCTGAAGGGAAGGAAAAACAATATACATAAAACATGTGCTCAGTTGTGATTAATTTGACAGTATACATGTGCATTACTTGGTGATTGGGAACTGAGTGGGCAAATTGACTCCACTGAGAAGAATAGCCTATGAGATAATGTGAAGAGATCTGAAAGCTACATCTGTACTACATGAAGGCACATGTATACAAGCAAATCATAACCTATTGTAATCAAATGATGAAATACATGTCACCCTACATGTAACACAGAAGGTACAGATCTTGCAGAATTAGAGCTTTTGGAAGACACTGACTGATAAATAATTGTACTTTAAAATGTATAAAATTGCACTTTTGATATTTTTATAAATGTAGCAGACTCCAAAGGCAGCTGATGTGTTACAGATGCACGTTTCTGTATATTCTGTACAACTACATTATATTCTTTCTGCTATATCCTTCCTCTCTTGTTTATGGATGCTCAATAGATCTTCAAGAGAAGGGTCCACCAAATGCTATTTAATGCAAACTAATAATGCAGTGGTTAAACTGTAGTACTACAATCAAGACTCTGCTCATGACTCAAGTTTGATCCTGACAGCTGGGCACTTTCAAAAATCAACTCAAGACCTGGTTATACAGACAGGCCTTCTCTCTGCGCACTACATAACTTTCTCTTTTTCTCTATCTTTATCTACTTTGTTTGTGTAAATGTTGTAAATGGTTAATTTATATTAATTGTTTTTATTCTGCATTTTGTGAGCCGCCCAGTGTAGACTATGTCTAAATGGGTGGCATATAAGCTCAACAAACAAACAAATAAACAAATGACAGGCCCTGGTAGCTGGCTCAAGGTTGACTCAGCCTTCCATCCTTCTGAGGTCAGTAAATTGAATACCCAGTTCACCAGGGGAAGGGGGGCACAATATAGAGCCTACATAATTGGATTGTAAACTTCCCAGAAAGTGCTTTCAATGGTACATAAGCAGCACACTTTGCTTTTGCATTAATTAAGGGACAAGCCTACTTGGGAGTAAAACTCACTTGTTGAAAGCCAGTTGCATAAACCAAATTGTAACTTTCAGTCTGTTCTTCCTGTTGAAGTGTCCCTGCTGTGACATGTGAGGCATGCATGCACGTGCAAGAACTCAGCATGTGCACACGCCCTGAAAACCACAGGTGGGGGAGGTTTACCAGGGAGGAATGGATCAAGTTGCAATTTGACTTGCACTAATGTTATTTGTCCTGCACTCAGGGCTGATTCAGAACAGTTCCTGTCCCTTCCTGACAGCCTTTCAGGTATTGGAGAAGTCCTTTCCTATCTTCCCTCAGTCTTCTTTTCCCAAGGCTAAACATGCCCAGTTCTTTCAATTTTTCTTCGTAGGGCTTAGTTTTCAGACCCTGATAATCCTTGCTGCCCTCCTCTGAACTTGTTCCAGTTTGTCAGCATCCTTCTTGAAGTGTGTTGTCCAGAACTGTACACAGTACTCAAGATGAGGTCTGGCCAGTACAAAATAGAGGGGAACTAGTACCTCACAGAATATGGAGTACAGTGATGCCTTGCAAGATGAATGCCTCATGCAACGAAAAACTGGCAAGAGGAAAGCATTTTGCATTTTTTTTTGTGACTCGCAAGACAAATTTTTCTATGGCCGTGCTTCGCAAGACGAATAGGAACACATTAGTTAAATTTCAATGCATTCCTATGGGAAACCGCGCTTTGCAAGACGAAATTTTCACAATACGAAATGACTCACGGAACAAATTATTTTCGTCTTGCGAGGCATCACTGCATATACTTCTGTTAATGGAGCCTAAAATAGCATTTGCCTTTTTTTGTAGCCACATCTCACTGTCGACTCACATTCAGCTTGTGATCTACAACAACTCCAAGATCCTTCTCACTCATATATTGCTGAGTATTGCTGAATCTTTCATCTTGCAACTGTGTGTTTGTTTTCTTTTTCCTAGGTGCAGTTATCCCTGTTGAATTTCATTCTGTTGTTTTCAGCCCAGTGCTCAAGCCTATCTAGATAATTCTGAATTTTGTTTCTGATGACCTACAAAGCATAAATGGCTTAGGTTCAGGCTTTCTGAGGGACTAGATCCCCCTGTATGAGCCTGCCCAGGTCTTCAGATTCTTATACAGGCTTTTATTTCTGTCCTACCACCTTCATAGATATATTTGGTGAGGACAAGAGAGATAGTGTTCTCAATGGCTGCTCCCAGGCAATAGAACTGTGTTCCAAGGAAGACAAGTCTGGCAATATCCCTGCTTCTTTCCACAAATATATTCTTACAAACAGGCTTTTGGCCACTGATAAGAAGTGATTTGCTACTCTCATGTTATTTTTAAATGCTTTAAATGAGTTCTAAATGGTTTTCAACTTCATTGTGTATTTGTTTTGGTTTCATAATTTACTTAATACTGTCTTAATTCTGTAATTTAATGGCTGAAATCCTGTTGCTTAGAGTAGTAAGTCACATAAGCATAAGCCCAATGAATCAATTGGGATTTGATGAGTAAACTCTCTTTTAAGTTCCACTGATTTAAATAGACCTACTGGAGTTGCAAATTACTACACTAAAGTAAATCATAAGAAGAGTAAGTCCATTTGATGGGACTTATTGGAGGAGCTGGCTTACCAAATTCCTACAGATTCAATAGGCCTACACTACTGTGTTTTACTACTTCAAGCAATAGGATTGCAGCCACTGTTATTTTAGCTCTATTGTTCTTAAACCTATGTTGTAAGCTGCCTTGGGTCCTGCAAGGAGAAAAGGCAGGAAATATAACTGTTTGGAAGAACATGTGTACTTTAAACTATGCAATGTTTTAAACATATTAGTCCAGTACAAGACTATGGGCAAGATCGAATAGCTTCTAGCTTTTTCCAGCAAGCATGAGACAAACATAAGTAAAAATGCAACTACTAATGAAAAGTATGTTGAGAAATTGCCGTCAAAGTCTACAGTTTATGAAACATAAATGGTATAGGAAATAAACCACATATCTCTAATAGGCATCCAGTTAAGTCTGCCATTAATGGAACTTCTATCAGGATCAGGGAGAGAGTAATTTCTTCACCTCCTGGAGCACCTCAGGGGTGCAATCTTTTCCAGGGGAACTGCAAGAAGGAGGGCAAAGCTATGCAAGTGTGTTAGCATAGTCTTGAAGTTTAACAGCAGTCATTACAGGTAAGTGAAATAATGTCCCCCCCCCAAAACTAGCTATGACACCACTAAATCAACTTTCTATTGAAATGTAAAAACACAGTTGATGAAAATCTGGCAGTAAATCTACTGTTATCATCTCTCCCATCTTCAGTTTTCTGGTGTAACTTCACAATCAAAATATAATGTGTAAATTTTGGTTTGAATAACAAAAAATAAAACATGGGACTAATTTTCTGGGGTAGGAAGGTATTACACCTGTTTCTTTAAAAGAGTAGTATAGCCACTGGACTCATTTGGTAATCTTAGATACTGAAGGCATTTCAAATGCATTTTAGGAACTTTTATGAACTTTTCTGTGCTTTTAGAGGAAACAGAGGCTTCCCTTTAGCACAATTATTTTATGTTTTACATGGCTATTACTGAGATCTGTTACAGTATAATCAAAACTTGCCAGATACTATTTGCAATGTATACTGCGTTTCTAAGTCTTTATACCTCTATTATACAGTCATGGCCAAAAATATTGGCACCCTTGTAATTCTGTCAGAAAATGCAACCCTTCTCTCAGAAAATTGTTGCAGTTGCAAATGTTTTGGAACTCACATGTTCGTATTTTTGGTTTGCATTGGAACAACACAAAAACAGAGAGGAAAAGTCAAATCTGATACAATCCCATGCAGAAACCCAAAAATGCACTGGCCAAAATTATTGGCACCCTTAACTTAATATTTGGTCACACTCTCTTTGGAAAAAATAACTGAAATCAATTGCTTCCTGTAACCTACAAGGTAGGCTTCAACAGTATGTGGAATGAGAACTCCCAGAAGTACAAGCTGGATTTTGAAGGGGCAGGTTATGGAGAAAGCCAGAGAGTTCCAGAAAAACATCTACTTCTGCTTCATTAACTACGCAAAAGCCTTTGACTGTGTGGACCACAACAAACGATGGCAAGTTCTTAAAGAGATGGGAGTGCCTGACCACCTTATCTCTCTCCTGAGAAATGTATATGTGGAACAGGAAGCAACAGTTAGAACTGGATATGGAAGAACTGATTGGTTCAAAATTGGGAAAGGAGTAGGACAAGGCTGTATATTGTCTCCCTGCTTATTTAACTTATATGCAGAATACATAATGTGAAAGGCAAGACTGGATGAATCCCAAGCCGGAATTAAGATTGCCGGAAGAAATATCAACAAGCTCAGATATGCAGATGATACCACTCTGATGGCAAAAAGTGAGGAAGAATTAAAGAACCTCTTATTGAGGTTAAAAGAGAAGAGCGCCAAAAATGGTCTGAAGCTCAACATAAAAAAAAAACTAAGATCATGGCCACTGGTCCTATCACCTCCTGGGAAATAGAAGGGGAAGATATGGAGGCAGTGACAGATTTTACTTTCTTGGGCTCCATGATCACTGCAGATGGGGACAGCAGCCACGAAATTGAAAGATGGCTGCTTCTTGGGAGGAAAGTGATGACAAACCAAAAAGCAGAGACATCACCTTGCCAACAAAGGTCTGCATAGTCAAAGCTATGGTTTTTCCAGTAGTGTTGTATGGAAGTGAGAGCTGGACCATAAAGATGGCTGACCACCAAAGAACTGATGCTTTTGAATTGTGGTGCTGGAGGAGACTCTTGAGAGTCCCCTGGACTGCAAGGAGAACAAACCTATCCATTCTGAAGGAAATCAACCCTGAATGTTCATTGGAAGGACAGACTCTGAAGCTGAGGCTCTAATAATCTGGAGTTCTCATGAGAAGAGAAGACTCCCTGGAAAAGACCCTGATGTTGGGAAAGTGTGAAGGCAAGAGGAGAAGGGGACGACAGAAGACAAGATGGTTGGACAGTGTTATCAAAGCTACCAACATGAATTTGACCCAACTCCGGGAGGCAGTGGAAGACAGGAGAGCCTAGCGTGCTCTGGTCCATGGGGTCACGAAGAGTCGGACACGACTTAACGACTAAACAACAACAACAAAGCTAGACAGCAGTCTGGCTATTGTTGTCCCCTTCCCACAGGGGTAGCTACTGCTCACTTCAATTGATGGGACAGCGGATAAGACAACCAGTGGGAGAACGACTAAACAACAACAACAAAGCTAGACTCACTTCAATTTATGGGACAGAGGATAAGACAACCAGTGGGAAACAGAGCCAGGTATTTTCATGCATGTTCTCTTATCTTTGTCACATGTACTCAGGGACAAACTCTCCTCACTGCACACATCTAGATGCAGACTTCATTAGAAAGAACTTCTCTTTTACATACATTATTGTTTTTACACTGAGGTAGGTACTAAGACTTAAGTAGGCATTCACAGACATGCATATGTGTACACACACACACACACCATCAGGAAGGTATTCTCTGTCACATATAGTATTGCTTTCTCTCACACGCACATACAGAAACATACCCCTACCCAGGGAATAGATCCAAAGAGTTCATTAACTTCAGGCACCTACCCAAAATATGGAATTTAAATCAATATAGTAAGAAGAAGAAGGCAGGGAGAGACGAGAATGAAGTGCTAGACAATGTTAATTAAAACTTGGAACTATTGGATGGGGGATAGAAGAAAACTGACTTTATCCCTTCAGCAGTTCAGCCAACTTTAGTTAAAGACAGTGAGCTGCCTTTTAAAAAAATTAACATTCTTATCATTATTCACACACACAGTTTTCTCCTTCCTATATTCCACTTTTTTAAAGGCTGAATCATCAAATGACTCCAATTTTCCCACTTCTCCAAATTATTTATTTTAAACATCTTTAATAATGCTCAAAATGAATGTAATTAGAGAAAGTCTGAAAAATAAGGAAACGTGAATTATGAAGAGGAACTATATACAGAAATATACAAAGGAACACAAATTAACACTTAGATATCAAAATGTTTTGAAAGTGAATATCAGGGATGTAGAGGGAGGGGATAAAGGAATCCACTACATCTCTTATTTTGTTAAATCTTTTTTGAAAATGTGTAATTCAGCATCCACAGAATACTTGCCCCTTCTGCATATTGCAAAAATCGCTGATTCGTTTCTTTTTTGCCGAAGTCATCCAAGAACTTTTGTCGGTAAGCCAGAACCGTGTCAACGTGTGTCTTGTGTTTCACAGCAAGTTCTAGTGCCCTAGAAGAAAACAATAATGAGCTCATCAGGCTGAACTCAGAAACTGGCCTAATTACAAATGCTTTGGTTTTATAAAAATACATACTATACGGTGACTGTACTGGTGGAAAGTTTTTCTGACATAAAGCTAAAAGAACCCTACCATTAGTGCTGGCAATGAAGACCCAGACAAATTTTATAAACATGTTATGAGAAGTAGTTATATTTCCATTGCCCTTACATTGGTATAGAAAATTAAAATACATTTTTCTTATTCATAATTTTTAAGTATTGTAAAACAGGAATTTTTAAGCACTGCAAGTCTTACAAAGCAAAAGTAATGCTTCACATCTGTTGAAGTGAGGCTAAACATATGTAATGATCTACTGTGATCTTGCTGACCATATATTACTGGATTTCAATTGTCACGTAAAGAATTACCGTATTTTTCGCTCCATAAGATGCACCTTTCCATAAGACACACCAATTTTTTAGGAGAAGAAAATAGGAAAATATAATCTGTTTTCTTCGCTCCATAAGACGCACAGACTTTCCACCACCCTGTTTTGTGGGGGGAAAGTGCGTCTTATGGTGCGAAAAATACGGTAAATATCAGCTCACTAACAGACAGTGATCCAATATCTCTTATATATAGAGAGAAAACCTTTGCATGAACAGAGGCTGAACTTTGGGAACATTCCCATATGCGCATCATGCAGAGCTCCCTATCCAATAAGCATTAGATTGAAAACCTCTGGCAAATATTTTTTTTTCAGTTTGGGTTTCCACTCTTAAAAACAACTGTAACTTCATATTCCTAAAATGGCAGTCTTTTTCAGTGCCAGTAGAATATTCTAAAGATTTGCACATATAACTATCAACAAATTATTTGATTAAGTAACCTTGCTAAAATGAAGTATGCATGGGGCTAGTCACTGTCTGAATGGAAGACCTGAATTGTGTGTATCCCAGTAGGATATAAATGCCTTAAATAAGTAACTTATCTACATCTGTAGCTTTTTCAAACGTTTAAAATTCTTCACATATACACATAGCAATGAAAGGTGGGCTAGCATATTGTTTCCAGTACAAATCAAGGCTTAATGGGAATAGTAGCTTGTCTAAAGCCACTTACTAAGTTTGTTGGGTAAGATGTGAAGCACAGATTTCCCAGCTCAAAAGGCTCAAACTAATGTCATTTACCTAAATCATATTTCAAAATTTGGCATCATTGCTCAAATGCAGTGGATAAAAGGGGGAAGTGGTATGTTAGGAGGTCTAATTTCCTTTCTAGTTGCTTTTCCCCCAGTTTAGGTTGCTTTCCCCCCAGCTTAGCTTGCTTTTCCTCTCATATAGTTTCCACATGTGAGAGTAAGACACATGAGATGGGCATCACACACATCTATAGACACAGACATTATATGTAAAACAATGGGCCAATGTTTTTAAAAAGATGACCAAATTCTACATCCCCAACAGGACTTTGTCTTCTGTTTCTAAAATAACAGTTCGTCAGGCCATACAATAAACAGCTTTTTAAAATATGAAGCATTTTTTCACATGGCACATGGATCTCTGCTTAGGGTAATTTAAAGTTGCCTTTGAGATCCAATCCATCATGTAAACAATATTAGCATCTGAGAAACCCAGTTTGGCTCTTCTTTAAAGCTGCATGAGGAACTAAGCGGCCAGTGACTCACATCTAGATTTTTTTAAAAAACCACAAAACCAGATTCACTCAAATATTATTTCAACACTCATTCTCAAAAAAGAAAGTATGACCTTGGGCAATGAGAGAGAAGCAAAGAGATTAAAACACACATCACCCTTACAGATATTTACACTTTTAAAATATTTTAGTTAATAAGTTAATGCAAAATCTTTAAAATTGTAATTAGCACAGAACAGTAATTTACTTGGTAAGAAATATGCTACCTTTCCCAGTTGTAAAGGTTAATATTGACTTGAATAGCTTGGTAAACAAGGCCAGCTTGAAGAAGCAGGGTTTCAGCATCTTGTACATTTCCACTGAACAGCAGAATATGAGCCAATCTAGATTCTTTTGATGGAAGATCTTTGATGGAACTGATATACTGAACTTTATCAATCTATTGTTATTTAAAAGAATGGAATATTTGCAATAAGATTAGCATATTTGAAACTACAACTACTTTGTAAAATGCTAAAAAGAAGCAAACATTTAAGGGCAATGTACTTACTTCGCCAATAGATGCGTAGGCCACTTCTGCTGTGTTCATATCCTTACTAGCTACTGCCATAGCAGCTAGACATGCCCACAATGTTTGATCCTTAAAATGCAATGGATATATTATGTTTAAGATAGCTTTTTCTCCTATACATTACAAGTATTTGTCTTGAGCCAAACAGAACTAGAGCTCTGCTGCTAACTACTAAATTCATCAAAGTCCATCTTAAAAGAGACTAAAATATCATTGTCATCACTACACTGACTCAGAATGTCTACTTTTTCTAGCCTAATACATAGCCTAGTATACAAAGATGTTCAAATGACTTGGATGGACATAACCACTTCCACTGTTTTACTTCTTTCCACAGGAGATCACTCATCTTCATCCATGAAACACAGTATAATTTTCGTAAGTTTCCCAGTTTCCCAAAGTACAGTAGTTTGCCATGTGACAGTTTGCGTCCATATTATGGGCATAAAGCAACTAAAATTAAGAATCTTAGACTCTTATTTATTGCCATGCAACTGAATGTAAAGGGTTTTTGTATGTGTCATTTCATATTTGTTCAACATTCATGTTCTTTACTCATTTTTGAGATGTTAAAAGAATTATTATATTTGTCAGCACTAAATTAAGATTCAAGTCTCGCTTCACTGACTTGGGTAGCTCTTCTGAAAACAATCTGAAAGCAAAATTTAGGCTAAAAGTATTCAGATGTTAAGTACATGTAGATCAAAGACATTCTAGAACCAGGAAATTGATCGTATTGGCTGGCAACATTCCATACTGATGTTCAAAGCACAACAAAAATCAAATCTCAGACATCAGAATTAGTTAAATAAAAAGAATCTAATGTATTCTCGAAGGCTTTCACAGCCGAGATACCATGGTTATTGTGGGTTTTTTGGGCTGTTTGGCTGTGTTGTGGAGGTTTTTTCTTTGTAACATTTCATGAGTTTCTGTGGACAGCATCTTCAGAGGACAGGAGCTAGAACCGTGTTCTGGTGTAGTTTGTGGGATTGTTGAATATTTGTAGCTGTGGGATCAGGTTTTTGTTCTTTTCAGGAGATTGGGTGATTCCTGTGATCAGGGTGTTGTTGTTTTTTTGTTATGGATATATTGTTGTGATAAGGAGGGATGATCTGTCATTGTGACTGATGGGTGTTGTTCACTAGTCTTTTGTATGCAGTGATCTGGAACACAGACAAAATTCTAGCTCCTGTCCTCTGAAGATGCTGGCCACAGAGACTGGCAAAATGTTAAGAAGAAAAACCTCCAGAACATGGGCAAACAGCTCGAAAAACCTACAACCAAAACAGTCTGTTTTCCCCTAAATTTCTTCTTTCCACTGTAGCTAGTGTCTTAAAGGATTTGTCTCCTTAATATGAAAAATGTACAGGTACCCTTCTTAGCAGACATCACAAAATAATCCTAAACCTATGAAAATATTTTTACTAGTTTGCACTCAGATAAACAACAGTACAAGTGGGGTGTCTGGTCATTCCCCGCTTCCCCTCGTGCTCAGCCCAACTAATTTAATAACACTACCCAATATTCAGCCTTATCAAGTGAAGGTGTAGGGACAAAGTATCCTTCTCACCATCATTTCTATGAATCTAATTCATTAAATCTAATGATTCTGAGTAGTGAGTTAAATACATATTTATGTGTTCTATGGGGTCAAAGCTATAACCCTCCACACTTGTGCAATATTAGACATTTAGGAAATGTTTGCCGGTTTTAGAATTTTTGCTGTAATAGACATTTTAAAAATATAAAATAATAATGCACACAAATCACAAGTTAAAATAAACAAAGACAGAAGTTAAGTATCTTTGATCAACTTTCATTTCCTTTTTGTCTTAAAACAAAATGGAATTCTGAAACATGGTTAGAGCTTAATCGATTTTAAGGGAATTGCCCTACCTCTTCTCCTGAGCTTTTTAAAATACTCTGACAACTAAGCAGAACACCTCTGAATTACAATTCAATAAGAGGTATCTTAACTCCTCAATGAAAATGTCTTACCTGGAGAACAGTTTTCTCTTGTAAAGTGTGAATTTTCCATTAATTGTATTTTTAGTGGTTAAACCCCAGGTTTTAAAAATACATTTATACATATTTAGTTTATTTAAGTCACTTGGTTATAAAAATGTCATTAGGAATGTTAGATCCTACTATATAACAGTTTCAACAAGGGCACTACATGTTAGAGAAGGAAAATACATGTTCTATTCACATTAATCACCTAAATGAATTGAAGAATGACAGGCTACTCACCTATAACTGGTTCTTTGAGTGGTCATCTATGAATTTACACAATTGGGTTCTACGTCTGTACAAACACTCTGCATGGAACTTTCCAGAGCTGTAGCCTCAAGGCTTCTCCACCCACTTTTTTTTCACTGCACATGCTCTACTAATTTACCTCAGTCCCCATGTGACTGCAACAAAATTATATTGCATTCGGCACTTATCCATGAATGCCCACATTAAAATTTATCAGTTAGTCTTTAAGGTGTTACAACATTTTTATTTTTTATTTTTATTTTGTTTTGCCAGACATGCTAGCACAGACTAACACGGCTACCGCTTCTAAAACTAAAAGTATGGTTGGTGATATCAGTGGTTGAGAAATATCAAACCAAGACACTACCTTTGGGAAGAAAGATATGTCTGCATCTAACATTATTTTATTTTTGCTTAATTGTATGTAAGAATATCACACCTCAATAAACAAATTTCACTTTTTTTTGGTAGAATAGCAATTATGAATGCTATTTTGAAAGTCATTACAATGTTGTATTGTAAATAAATGAAGTAGTTGAGATCGGGGAATGAGTTGAAGCAATGCTGTTCATCCTTGTGTCAATCAAGACAAAAGTGTGGTTTTGGTTTTTTGGAGGGTCTTTTTTTTAGGATAATGGATGTTTGTATTTACCATGTCTACTCCATGGACTACATTATTGTGGTGTTAAACAATCTGAGCTCTTGGACATGTCTAATGGTGATTTGCTTCTCTGGTATGGGTCATTTCTTCTTGCGGTGTTTGTTGTTGTGTAATCAAACCCATTCTCTTCGCTTTTTTCCTTTTTTAGGAGATCTTCCATAAAATCACCTATTTTATGTTAAAGAGAATATCCCCATCAAAAGGAAGGTCCTCTGTTTTTTGATTAGCCAACAACACCCATCAATCACAGTGACAGATCATCACCCCCCCCTTATCCAACAAAACACCCATAATCACAGGAAACACCCAATTTCCTGAAAAGAACAAAAACCCTGATCCCACAGCTACAAACACTCAACAATCCCACACACTACACCAGAACATGGACAGAATTCTAGCTCTTGTCCTCTGAAGATGCTGGCCACAGAGACTGGTGAAATGTTAGGAAGAAAAACCTCCAGAACACAGCCAAACAGCCTGAAAAACCCACAACAATAATCAGATTCCAACTGTGAACGCCTTTGGTTTCATGGTTGTGAATATTAAGGTTAAAACCTGAATTGAAGATGGGTTATGTAGTTGTGGAGAATTATAAAATGAATCCATATTGGTTCTGTGTTAGAATGATTTTGTATGGTGGGAATATATTCTCCAAGAGGCGATGGAAAAGTTCCATGTAATCAGCCATGTTAGGAGACGATAAGGAGTAAAGACACAACATGTTGTCTGGATCTAGACCCGAGACGAGGAGATGGAAAACAACACCTGGACTTCTCATGGGAAAAGGAGGCGTGATGTGAATGGACTGTCCTTAACACCATTAGTCAACACCTCGAGGGATGAAGGAGAAGGGTGGTGCCAAGAAGATAGAAAATGGCGGATTGTGCCACATGGACAGAGTTCCCAGATTTCAGATACCTGATTCCAGTTTCCAGATTCTAGGGAGCCATTTTGTATTCTAAGATGTAGATGGTAGAAGGAGATAGAGGGGGGCTAACCCTTGCCGACCCTTAAAGAAGCTTTTTAGAATTTTAGTATATTTTTGCTAGTTGAATTTTGTTATGATTTTAACTGCAATATCTTTTGGAAATATAACTTATGCTTTGCTTATGCAACAAACTGAATATCTTTAAAGACTTTATTTTTCAATAAAAAGTTATTTTTAAAATCTTTAAGAATGGTCTTTTGAACAGCAAGTCTGCTGAGCCTGCTTCCAGAATAGTTGTTAAGCCACAGAATGCTACAGAGTCCTTTTTGCCTGAGCTTTGATCTTGCAGACTCCAAAGCTTATGTGTTTTCTCTTTTGTTTTCTCTTGCTAAACTTAATTAAGTACTGTACAAGCAAGTGTCTTTTTAGAACAGACTTGTGATAAGGGGTTTGTGTTACGTCCTGGCTGAATCACCTGGACTCTGCTCAGATATTTATTTGTTTGTTTGTTTGTTTCATTTATAGCCCACCCATCTGGTCATATAGATTACTCTGGGCGGGTAACAACATAACATACTGTACAACAATTTGCAATTTAAAATGACAATATATTACTTTAAAAAAACCCACTATGATCCAAGATGGAAGAAACCACAAACCAAACAAAAATTCAGACAGTCGATTGAGGGAAGGCTTGTTTGAACAATCAGGTTTTCAATTGGCATTTGAAGATGTATTTTGGAGTACACAGACACCCAGACACTCTCTGTGCGGGAATCGAGCAGTCCTTAACTGGATACTAGGTTCTGACATACAATTTATGAGTAGTCTACTCATGTTTAATTGTAATAATTTTGCCATTCACTAAATTCAGACAGTCGATTGAGGGAAGGCTTGTTTGAACAATCAGGTTTTCAATTGGCATTTGAAGATGTATTTTGGAGTACACAGACACCCAGACACTCTCTGTGCGGGAATCGAGCAGTCCTTAACTGGATACTAGGTTCTGACATACAATTTATGAGTAGTCTACTCATGTTTAATTGTAATAATTTTGCCATTCACTTCAATCATTGTATGATTCAGTTGAAATCATTGTATGATTTAATCTCTTCAGATGGAGGCAGTGGTGCAATATCTCCTACAAGGTCAAGATACAAAGGTTGACCGAATTATCACTTTGTTCATTTTATGAATCTGAAGTATAATTTTGTTTCTTTG